GAGGAGGCATTATCCCAGTCAATGCAATGCTTGTTATCCCTCAAATGAACAAACAGAGCATTGGATTCCTGGCTTGTCCTAACACTGTATTTGTCTTGTTTAATTCTAGTTGCAAGATCTTTACCTGTCTGGCCTAAGTAAAACATATTACATTCCTTGCAAGGAACTTTATAAATGCAACCAATTGTGTTGTTGGGGGAGTTCTTGATTAACATTTGTTTAACAGTGCATGAGTTTTTAAATGCCACATTGACGTTCCAGGTTTTTAGTTGTGAAGGAATGTGTGAGAAATTTTTGTGAAATGGTAATATTAAGATATTCTTATGGTCATGGGTGGGCTTGGGATCAGTTCTATAAAAAGTTTTCTTAGTAATGTTTAGGCATTTGTCTATGAAAGATCTAGGGTATTTAAGGTTTGAGCCAATATTATATATATATTTGTATTCCTCATCGATGAATTCCGGACTGCAAATTCTCAAGGCACGTAAAAACATTGTTGAAAATACTGACTGTTTAACTTTATTATGGTGGGCAGAATAATAATGAATGTATGAACACACATTAGTTGGTTTTCTATAAATACTGAACTTAAAAGTGTTACCTATTCTGTGCATCAGACAGTCTAGGAATGGCAATTTACAGTCTTGCTCTAATTCCACAGTGAATTTGATCGAGGGGGCTAAGTTGTTAAGTTGTGGCAGGAAAGCTTTTAGGTCCTCATTACATGGCCAGAGACATAATACATCATCAACATATCTAAACCAGACTGCTGAGGGTGGTAAAATATTACTTAATAGTTTCTTTTCAAAGAATTCCATATATAGGTTGCTTAATACAGGTGAGAGTGGATTACCCATTGCCATACCAAATTTTTGAGCATAATATTCCCCATTGAATTCGAATTTGCAATCCTTAATACATAGTTTGATGAGTTCGATGAAGTCGTCTTTCGAGACGGGCAGTGAAATGTCATCCAGGGAATCTATGAGGAACTCTAGTAAATCATCAACTGGGACCTTTGTAAAGAGTGATGTTACATCAAAGCTGACCAGTTTAAAATCATGATTAATGTGTAAGTTATTGAGTTTATCAACCAGATCCATATTATTCTTGATATTGGAGTTAGAAATGTTGCCAACTAGGGGATTTAGTAAAGAAACTAACCATTTAGATAGTTTATAAGAGATTGACCCAACTGAGCTAATGATGGGTCTTGCTGGGTTATTGGGCTTGTGGGTCTTGATTACACCGTACATGTATGGCAGTGGAGGGGACGTTGAAGTAAGATGTTTAATGAGAGTAGCTTGCCTCTCAATAGGGACTTCAGTTTTTTGTTGAACTGGGTGTTGACAGTGTTGAGAGGATTATTTATGAGTTTAGAATATGTTGTAGTATCACATAAAAGGTCATTCACTTTAGAGATATAGTCATCTTTGTTTAAAATCACTACTGTGTTGGCTTTATCTGCTTTATTGACATGTAGATCCTTATTTTTCTTAAGGGCTTGGATTGCTTGGGTGAATCTTTCTGGACAGTTTGGAACACAAGGCTTGGACATAGATGCATACACAACACCTTTACACATGTTCACTTCTTCACTTGTCAAATTACTGAATTTCTCCAAATTGCAAAATGCTCTGGCTATGTCAACACTGTCGACTCCCTTGTTAGAACCATCAAAACTTAAACCATAGCCGAGGGCACACAAGGTATCATTGTCTAGTTGTTTAGAGGAGAGATTCACTACACAGTTGTTATTGGCATCCTTAGTCCAATCACTATTTCTAATAAGGAGTGCCAATTTGTGGTCTATCTTGGCTTGAAGATCAGAACGCTCACGTCTCAGGTTATCAAAACAGTAGTCCAACATGAACTTTTTCCAATAACTCGGTATGGTCATATTAAAAACACGCTTTTTTGTCTTACAATACGGAAAGCTTCATCCACTTCAATTTTCTTTATTTCAAAATGTTTCTTAAGGATGATTTCTTGGAACTCATCAAAGGGGCGGTCAGACATCTTCAGGACACGTTGTGGGAGGATTGATCTAGGCATAACTTTTTCACTAAGGCATGTCTGGAGAAATTTCAAACGTATTTTCAATTTGTGGGCCTTGATCATCGAAGAGGAGTATTCAGTAACGAAAGGAGACAGTCCAGGACAGCTTGTAGAGAAGTAGTAGAAGTAGCGCATAGAATCCATTTATGCAAGTAAATCACTGTAGTTGCGTGTGATCCAGGTATATATATATATATATATATATATATATATATATATATATATATATATATATATATATATATATATATATATATATATATATATATATATATATATATATATATGTGTGTGTGTGTGTGTGTGTGTGTGTGTGTGTGTGTGTGTGTGTAACCGCCAATCAGACGGTTAGAGGGTGAATACTACTTCTCACGTCGTACACGAACATTATAATTCGGTCAAACCTGTTGAATACAATTCATTTAGTATTTCAAATAAGTCATACATAGGCACTCTTACATTAATGTTTAATCCAATATATATTTACATAACAATCATGGCTATGTAATTAGTCTAATCTTAACACAAAAAACAATGACACAGTCTACCTGTGTACACAATAAGTACTAGTTAAACTTACGTGTTGAAAGTCTAGAGAGAAGCCAGGGTAGGTGTTGACTCTAAGATATGGGTAGCTATACTGAAATGCCCACCCTATAGCCTGGCCCCTTGGCTGGTCAGCTATGGCTGAGTCAGGTGATTATAATTATACATAAACAAACTCCCTTCACACCCTCCAACCTCCTTCTGGGCCTCTCATCTTCAACCATCTCAACACTCTACATTGTGAGTTACAGCCTAACATAACATTTGTTTATATGTCATCATAATTATGTACCGCTTGCGGTAACATATATATTTATATATATATATATATATATATATATATATATATATATATATATATATATATATATATATATATATATATATATATATATATATATATATATATATATATATATATATATATATCCCGTCAAGACATGATCCTGACTGTGCCTATCCCCTTGTTTCATCTTAAGAACATAAGAATGGAGGAAACTGCAGCGGGTCTATTGACCCATACTGGGCAGTCCCGTTTATACCCAACTCCTATTGCTCATATAAGCATCCAACCTATGTTTGAAGCAATCCAGCATATTCGAGTTAATGATGATATTTGGTAACTGGTTCCATTCATCCACTACTCTGTTTCCAAACCAGTGTTTACCTATTTCACGCCGAAATCTAAATTTGTCTAATTTCAAACCATTGATACGAATTCGCTCTTGGTTGGATAGTTTGAGTACCTTTGTAATGTTTTCTTTGTTTAGCCCTGCCTTCCATTATACACCTCTATCATGTCGCCCCTCACTCTACGTCTCTCGAGGGAGTGCAAATTATGATGCTTTAACCTGTCTCTGTATTCAAGGTTCCTAATGCCCGGGATTAGTCTTGTCATTCTCCTCTGGATTCTTTCCAATGATTCTATATCCATTCTGTAATACGGTGACCAGAACTGAACTGCGTAATCCAGGTGAGGTCTCACGAGCGCTAGATATAATTTTAAGATGACCTCGCTAGTCTTGTAACTAACACTCCTTTGTATGAACCTAAGTACTTTATTAGCCTTGTTACGAGCAAAAACACAGTGTTTACCTGGCTAAAGATTCCTACTTATCATTACTCCAAAATCTCTCTTGCAGTCGGATTCCACAATGGCATCGTTGTTCATCTGGTAACTGGTTTCCCTGTTTACATCTCCTGTACTGAGTACTTTACATTTGTCCACATTGAATTTCATCTGCCATTTTTCCGTCCATTCGAAAAATTTGTTTAGATCTTCCTGTAGTTTTGCAGAGTCCTTGTCAGATTTAATTACACTTCCTATTTTAGTGTCATCAGCAAATTTACTTATGATGCTGTCTATGCCGATATCTATGTCGTTTATGTATATAATAAATAATAATGGTCCAAGTACTGAGCCTTGGGGAACTCCACTAGTGACGTTGCTCCAATGCGATTTAGTGCCGTTTATGCTCACTCGCTGTTTCCTGTCCTGTAACCACGCCCTAACCCATTTAAGGATATTACCTTTGATGACATGCGCTTCTACCTTTCTAATTAGTCTTTCGTGGGGGACTCTGTCGAAGGCTTTGCTAAAGTCGAGATATACCACATCATAATTGTGCCCCTCGTCTACCGATTCGAAAACTGATGAAAAGAATGTTAATAGATTAGTTTGACATTAACGCCAGCTTATGAAGCCATGTTGGGAATCATTGATCAACTTGTGCTTCTCTAGGTGGTTTCGAATAGAGTTTGAAATAATTGATTCTAGTAATTTACCTACTAATGATGTTAGACTCATTGGGCGGTAGTTAGAGGATAGTGATCTATCCCCCTTCTTGAAAATCGGTATTACATTCGCTATCCTCCAGGATTCTGGTACTACACCTGTTTTTAATGACATGTTAAACAACTTTGCTAAGGGCATACTAAGCTCATCCTTACATTCCTCTAATACTCTGGCAAATATCTCATCGGGACCAGGTGACTTATTAGGCTTCAGTTTGTCTATTTGCTTATCTTATGTTGTCTTGTTTCCCTCCCTTATCAGATTACTGTATATCAACTCCACTGCAAAATATGTATTTACTTATTAGATATATGTAAAAAAAATAATGATCAAATAATACCAGATGATACTAAATGTTATACAATAATTCCTCGAGATAAATATACTGAACTGTACTGTACAGTATATATCAGGTGCCACTATGAGAACTCAGGTTCTCAACAGGCTCAGCCATGTCAATATTGTTATTATTGTCCATTCTGTATAAGTATTCTTCTGGCTAACTAAACAAACTGGTTCAATATCAACATCAATATCAAAGGTGACTGTATCCAAGTATGCAGAAATAATGTTTGGAGTAACATTCACTTTAAATTTGCAGCTGTGATGGCTGGTGTGGCAGGCATATGTATGGGGCTAATGGTGGAGAAGCTGGGTAGCATCTTCCACGTTGCCAGCAGCATCGTGTCTGCCGTGGGAGGCCCAGTTACTGGTCTATTTTTTACAGGAGTCTGTGCACCGTGGGTCAATGCAAAGGTAAAACAAGACTGGAGAGTTGATCTTTTGAGTCATACCATAAGAACCATGTGATAAAAGTAGAGCTGTTTTATATAGCGATATCTAATGACGGTATCTGTTGGTAAATATTGCTGCTTCCCATCATCACAGGGAGCTGTGGTGGGGTTCGTACTGTCGTTCATCTTCAGTGTTTGGGTAGTTATTGGTAAATTTGTGCGAGGAGGGGGGTCGCCTCCCCGCCTGCCACTGTCTACTGAGGGCTGCCCGGAGGACCTTGCCCTCTTCCTTAACGCCACCGTCACCGGCCTCGTCAACAATACCACTCGTCTTGCTGATACTATGTTGACGACCACCGTTCTGCCTGATGCTGTGCCGGCCAACACCACAGCTGTCGATGGGTCAGTACCACCAAACTCTAATTGGTTTTACTTACTTGTCAAGCTGTATGTCTGATGTTTTGGTCCATTTACTACATCTGTTTCACGATCTGACTATACACACCATGAAGCAGTAATGTGTCAAACTTTAAATAGGTGACAAAGGAATTCAAACAGGACATAGTGTAAAGCATTTATTAGCGGTTTAATGTTGAATAATGGACGTTTAGGTTATAAGAACATAAGAACATAAGAAAATAAGGAGTCTGCAATAGGCCGGTTGGCCTGTGCATGGCAGCTCCTGTCGAGAGTTACTACCACTCTCTATCATCCATGAATCTATCTAGCCTCCTTTTGAAACTTTCCAGAGTTCCAGCACAAACTACAAAGTTGCTAAGCTTGTTTCACTCGTCCACCACCCTATTTGTGAACCAGTTCCTTCCTATCTCCCTCCTAAACCTAAACTTATCCAACTTAAATCCGTTGCTCCGAGTCCTATCCTGCTCGGATATTATAAGAACTTTATCTATATCCCCTTTATTGATTCCTTTCACCGACTTTAATACTTCTATCATATCTCCCCGCACTCTTCGTTTTTCTAGGGAATGCAAGTTAAGTTTCTTTAACCTATCCTGATATGGAAGGTTTCTAAGTCCCGGAATCATTTTCGTCATTCTTCGTTGCACTGACTCTAGTGAAGTGATATCCATTCTATAATAAGGGCACCAGAACTGAGCCGCATAATCGAGGTGCGGCCTGACTAGCGCAAGATATAGTTGCAATAAGACCTCTGCACTCTTATTACTTACACTTCTAGATATAAAACCCAATACTGTGTTTGCCTTATTTCGAACATTAACGCACTGTTTTCTATGCCGTACGTCCGGGTTTACAAGTACCCACCTGTCAGATCAAAAAACTTGACTAGTATAACTTAAATATTTGACTCTCCTCGGGGGAAGCGTAAACGAAGGATGAATGCCACCACCAACATAATGATAAACAACAACATTTGTTGGGTAACGTTTAGACAATATCTCTTGTCATCGTCAGACCGAAGACATGACTTACAACAGTATAAAATTCAACATGACAAATAAAATTGAATACAGCTTTGGTTATATTAAACACATAGCAAAAAAAAATGACACTGAACATAAAACATGGAATTATTAATTGTTAAAACCTACCACAAATAACTACACAGAGCAAAGACGCAAAAATTAGCAGCAACTTAGAACTTAACACCAAAGATAAATACACAAAAATTAGCAAATATGTTACATACCAGTAAGAAATAAAGTAAAGAAGTAGAGTGGCAAATAGCGGGTATGAACGAGGATGTTTGGTGAGCAGTGCGTGAGAAATAATAATAAAAATAATAATAATATTAATAATAATAATAATAATAATAATAATAATAATAATAATAATAATAATAATAATAATAATAGTAATAATAATAATAATAATAATAATAATAATAATAATAATAATAATAATAATATTCATAATAATAATAATAATAAACGGTTTATTGAAAAAGTTCTGCAGCCAGAAGGCTGAAAATATACATTGGACATAAAATGGCTTATTACATACATTGGTGGTTTAACAAAAGCCTTCATTTGAGAGAGGTGAAGGAACATACAGTGAACATAAAAATTAATGTTTACACACGTAGATCATGTGAGCTGAGGTGTTGAACAGCAGACACGTAGTGTAGTAACTCTCTCACAGATGGCGTTATGAGGGCATCACGTGGAGTACGAGTTCCCTCACAGGTGGTGTTATGAGGGGCTTGACGTGGTGTAGTAATTCCCTCACAGATGGTGTTACGAGGGGCCTGATGATGTAGTAGCTCCCTCACAGATGGTAAATGAGGGGCCTGATGATGTAGTGATTCCCTCACAGATGGTGTTATGAGGGGCCTGATGTGGTGTAATAATTCCCTCACAGATGGTGTATGAGGGGCCTGATGTGGTGTAATAATTCCCTCACAGATGGTGTATGAGGGGCCTGATGTGGTGTAATAATTCCCTCACAGATGGTGTTATGAGGAACCTCACTTGATGTTGTAGCAACTCATTCACTACGTGGTGTCGTAGCATCATGGGGACACCACGTGGTCTGTTGTCACATGGTAATTTATTGGTTGATAAGAAGGAAATCAAAGAGGTTTGGAAAAAAAATAATAATTACGACCGACTGTGAACGAGAAGTTTATATGGATCGGAGTCAATTTATGAGTACCAGAACCAGTTCAGAGACCATATCCAAGAGTTAAAAGAGAATGAGTGAAGCAAGCAATTGGCAAGAAAAGAGAATGGAACGGCTACTGGAAGCTCGGGATTAATTCATGCTCCTTTGACTTGTAAACTTTCGTCTGTGTCTGTAATTGGCCATCGGGTGCTCCTCCTTGTCACCACACATCCTCAAGGCTTCAAGCAATCTTATTTTTTCCCTTATTTGTCTATTCACTTTATAATCCATCGGCTTGTCACTGCATGCCTGGCTTGGCCCTTCACCCTGCCCCACATCATGTCAGCAGAAAGTCCTTTATTTTGGCCCAGTATCTCGCTCCACTACCCCTCTCAGTACTGGAAGCAGAGTCCACTCTTTTCAACCCAACTTGATATGCTTTCCTTATGTTTTGTTCCTTAGATTTCCACACTCTCCTTTTGGTAACTCTGTGTTCGTCTTGATACCTACAAAATGTTCTATACTACTCAGGGTATACACAAACACTTGTTCTCTTAAAAGTAGGTTCTTATTCTTGTAAGGGAGATATATACAAGGGGACCAAGAAGCTCACTTCCGCACCACAAGGACTGGCAGTCTTCACTCTATGTATTACTGCGCGCTTGCATGTACAGATGCCAGCATTCACAAGCTGAATACATAAAATATAAATATGATAATTTATATACATAACATGGTGCATAATAAATGGAGATATTACATAGAATTAATACATGTTCTGTAATACTTTACTATACATAATTAATAGAATAATATAAGAGTAATATAATAATACACAGCTTAAGGTACTACTTCGTGTCCATATCATACACCTCCCTCCCCCCTATACGCTCATAGTTTCATCTTGAGCGGACCTTTTGTTTCTGAGTCGCTCGGACCTGCGGAGTACTGGGGCAGAAACACAAGGTGGGGATGGATTTACTGTAAGGACATCAACATTAGGGGACTCAACTGGGGAAGGGTCAACACTAGGCAGCTCCATAGGTCGGAGGAAACGACGGTTCCTCCACCATACTCTACCACTAGGAAGACGCACTTGGTAGTCCCTGGACCGGCCAATACCCATGACAACCCCAACCTTGTCCCAGCAGTGAGATACCGGATCTTGAATCCTGACCTGCTGGCTAATACTCAACCTGGGAAGGGGGCGGGCATGACAGTCGTACCGATCAGCGACATCTGCTGCTCGTTCTGCTGCACGGCGGTCACATTCCTCAGTCTTGGTCTGCCATTCTTGAGAAAAAGACTTCGGGTGGGCAGGAACACAAGACCTTTAGGTGATGTCCGTATAGAACCTGGGCTGGGGAGCGTCCGGTGAAGTTCGGGGTGTTGCGTAACTCCAACAAACCTCGATCGAAGTCCTCGCAGTCGATATTTCCTGAGGGTGACACCTTAAGGAACAGGTGTTTCACAGTCTTGACTGCGGCTTCAGCGTGTCCATTCGCCTGGGGGTAGTGGGGCGAGGTCATGACATGACGGACTCCCCAACGGTCCATGAAGTCCCGGAACTCGTGGCTGGTGAACTGGGGTCCTCCATCAGTCCTGAGGCGGAGGGGAACACCAACTTCTCTGAAGTAATGCCTGAAATTCCGGATGGTAGCAATAGCCGTTGTATCACTACCACAGGGGACGACAACAGGCCATCCAGACAGTCGGTCGGCAATGATGAGGAAGGACTTCCCTGCCACTGCAAAGAAATCGGCCGACACAGACTCGAAGGGTCTTGAAGGGTTATCGTCGCACATTAAAGGTTCCTGTTGCTGGCTGGGTTGCAGAATTTGGCACGGCTCACAGGCACGGACGGTACTTGCAATGTCCGCGTCGATTCCGGGCCAAAATACAGTCTGCTTCTCCCGTCGCTTGGTGGCCTCCACTCCTCGATGGCTGTCGTAAAGGCGGGTCAAGGTACGGCGGCGTAGGGCAGCAGGAATAACTACTCGTGGACCATACAAGACGAGGTCTCCGTCACAATAGAGGTCCTCGCGTATTTTCCAGTACGGGAGTGGCGATTCATGAAGGTCGTATCGGTTAGATGGAAATCCCTGGGACACACAGTCGACGAGCCGGATGTAGGAAGGGTCGGCCCGGGCTGCGGTGTGGAGATCTTCAAGGGTCTTGTCTGCATCCGGTGCTGTAGACTCTTCTGATGTGAAGACGGCCTTCAATGAAACTACTGACTTGAGGGATGCAGCAGCTGTAGAACACAACGTCTCGTCCTCTGGGGTGGGGCGACTGACAGGGGCGCGGGACAAGGCATCCGGGATGCACAACAGCTTACCCGCACGCCACACAGCCGCGAACAGATAAGGCGAAAGCTTCTCTTTCAAACATTGAAGGCGAGGATTCTCTACTGCATCCAAAGAGTAGTGATTGATAACACTGGGCTGCATTTGAAAAAAAATTCATGAGGTGCGGGGTTTCTTAGCTGATTCTGTATGTATTTTGCGTGCTGATTCCAAAAATGCCGTTCATTTTGCCCAATCAGGTCAGATTTTTATGCTATGGGAATTAGGAAAAAATCGAAATTCTTAAATATGATGTCCAAATTTTTATGCAAAATATATCATAAGAAATGTAACCACAACACATAGGACCAAAATATGTCAACTACATAGATGCCTTTACAGTTAGACATGCATAAATGGCTGTCGCAGAGAATTTCTTTGGTGGTTGGTGTCTGGGGTTTCCCGTTTCAGACACCAACAGTAGTCGGCGAGCATGTTGATATCCCAGCGACCCTGGTACCGCTCCTCCATTAC